TGTCTGTGTCTTTAAAAATGCAATGCATGATGTCAAAACTGCTGCATTTAAAGCACAACATAATACCTACCTTTAAAACTGGCAAAGCCTTAGAAACGATAATATTACATTCACACAAGTGTTCAAGTAAATAAAATGGGCGTTTCCACAATGCAGGTGGTGAGTAGGAGTGTAATTGGTACCAATTTTCAGAAGGACAATCTGGCAATATAAATAAAATTCTTAAGTGTTTATTTTCAAGAAAAGGATTGAGGATGTACCCAAGGCCAGCCACTAGGCCTCATAACATTTTATGTTTAAGTCATTAGGGATCTTTATTGATATTTCTGGTGCTCCTTCCGGGGATACCATCAGATGGTACTTCCTCCTCCACTAAAGTTACCATGTGACTGCTTTGGTTAATATGAGAAGGGCTTAAATGATATGTGTGACTTCCAAGCAGAGTTCTGTAGGAATTGGTACACAATTCTCCACCTACTCCTTTCTTTGTTCCTGATAGTAGAAGCTCCATAGGTCTGTGTCCTTGAATGAGGTTGACATTGAGCAAAGTCCTCATTAACCTAAGAGGGACATGTGAAGTGAGTTTTTTTTTTTAAACAGAGTCCTGTTTTGTCACCAGGTGCCAGGCTGGAGTGCAGTGGTGCAATCTCGGCTCACTGCAAACTCCACCTCCCGGGTTCAAGCAATTCTGCCTCAGCCTCCCAAGTAGCTGGGACTACAGGCACATGCCACCACACCCAGCTAATTTTGTATTTTTAGTAGAGATGGGATTTCTCCATCTTGGCCAGGATGGTCTCTATCTCTTGACCTCGTGATCCGCCTGCCTCAGCCTCCCAAAGTGCTGGGATTACAGGCGTGAGCCACCGTGCCTGGCCGGGTTTTGTTAGCTTCAGCACTGTTAGCATTTGAGGTTAGTGTTAACTCTTTGTTGGGGCTTCCCTGTGCACTGCAGGCAGGGTGTTTAGCAGCACCCTTGGCCTCTATCTGCTAGGTACTAGTCGTAACCTCCTCCCAGTGTGACAACCAGAACTATTTCCAGACGTCGTCCAATGTTTCCAGGGTGGGAGTTGGGGCAGGGCAGAATCACCCCTGTTTGAGAGCCACTAATGATGTAGCATAAACAAGAAAAAAAAAAAAAAACCTTTGTTCTTTGAAGCTACCATTATTCTAAGGTTCTTTTTTTTTAATCGCTGCAATGGATATGTTTTACGGTAGCAAAAATAATATATAAACATTTAGCAAAAGGGGACTGCTTTATATTAGAAGTGTTTTTACTTTTTCATTCTGTTTTTCTGTTTCTAAAATTTTTCTGCAGTGAAATGTGATTTTCTTTAGAAAGAAGAAAAAAACTAGAAAATTAATTTGTTTAAAAAAACCTATATTTGCATAATTGCCTATGTATATACAGGATTTGCTAGGGCTACACCAACATTCTAAGAATGATAGAACACTCATATAGCATAGCTTTCTATTGCACTTTAGTTTACAAAGGGTTTTCCCAGCTTACCTTTGTTGTTACTGTGTAACTACAAGCAAATATTGTGAGGCAGGTAACATAGATAGAAAAGGAAATGAAGCTAAGAGAAGTTAAGGGATGTGCTCAAGGTCCCCTGGTTAATGTGCGGCAGAGTCTACATTCTGGACTTTTCCTCCTATGCCATGTTGTCTTTGTATCTCTATAAAAAGCCAGTTTCAAAAAGTCAACTGGGACAGACTCTGATTCTCAGGAAATTTAAGCAGGTATGTAATATCCTTGGACAAGGTTACTAAACCTTGTAGACTCTTGGTCAGGGCATGGTACTCAATAAAATTTAAACAACCATTTCATGTAGCACAGCCAGTAGAATTTCATATTCTCCCCCCTCCCCACCTCTTTCTCCTTCTCTTTTTCCAGCTCAAATGAGTCACCTTGGCTAGACTGCCAATCCCCATAGAACTTATGTTCCTTGATAGGATATACCAATAAAAATGAGAAATTCTATAACGGTTCAAGACGTGAGTCAGTCGCCTATCCCCACAAAGAGCTAAGCACTGCCCCCTCGAGGAAATGTAGCTAATCAAATGGATGGGAATGCATGTAATGACAGCGAACGAATGTGAGACTACGTGGGGAGTCTTTTTCTTTCTTTCTTTTTGGAAAACAGCGCCCCTATATTGTACCTGTCTTGTGAATTTCTAAGCCTCGGCACAGTGTCTTGCTTACTTGACCCCTCAACACACACCGAACTTTCAAATTGGCAGCTGGACTGAAACCTCAGCACACATCAGCCCATGCCTATTCATTTCTCTTCCCTTGAAATGTGTGATGGGGCTGTCTCTGGAGTGAAGCTATTTTGAGAGGACAATCACTAGAACAATCACAGACTAGGCAGGAGATGGACAGTGCAGTGTAGCCACAAAGGAAGAAAAGACATTGTCATTGAGGATTTGAGTCCTGAATGTCAGAACGGCAGGGAAGCTGGGTAGAGTATGTTTCTGCCTGCTGTCCACTACCACTCAGTTACAGAGAGTTACCAACTTGACTTGCCATGACCATTGGCTTTTCCATGATTCTGGTTTCCTGGAACATGCAAGGGAAGGGGGCTAGCTGAGCTTTGGAGTTATCTGGGGAAGGTGTAGTTTTCTTAGCCAAGCTCCTGGCATCCAACTGGCTGAGAGGAAAGTTATGCTCAGCTATGCCCAGAAGCATGCTCACACTTACCTCAATAATGCCGGTAAGCAGATTTCACTATTGTAAATTCTTCATTTTGCTACAAGAGAATCAGTGGAGCCTGAAGGTCAAGGATACCACCTAACAATTTGCATAACTTCTCAGAGCAGCCCCCTGCAGCCTGGCCAGAAGCTACAGAAATGCCCCAGGGACTCCTTTCAGCTGAACTCCTCTCCTTGTCTTGATGAGAATGAATCTCTTTGAAGAGCAGATATGATTTCAGTTTGGGAGTGCTGCTTGGTCAGGGACTATGTTAACTCATCTCCAGATAATCAGTGCCTAGCCCTGTAAATATTTTTTCTGGATGAATGGATGGAGGACTCATTGATTACCACATTACATATTGGTCCCTATAGCACTGGCTGTGTATGATCATAAAAACCTACACAGCTCTCCCTGCTCAAAAAAGAAATAGTCCTTTTAGTCCTTATATTGAAGATTTTAGGCTGTAAAGATGGGATTGCAAATCAGTTTCACCCTGAGAGCCAATACCAGTCGATTGGTAGTAGCTGCCTTGAGAGTTATATGGGAGGTATGTGTGCACTGGGCTCAGTAAGGAAAAGTGCTGTCATAGATTAGTAATGTCTGCAATGGGCTAAAGGTAAGGAAATGGTGACCTGACTCTTGCATTTGCCAATGTTTTTATTTTTTAAGCTGTAAGATCTTCCAATTGAATTTTCTAGATGAATTGCCTTTCCAACACATTTCAAAGTCAGCTTTGACTGGATATATGCATGTTTTGAGTTTCTTCCTAATGTACCTTATGTTCTTCCTGGATTTGAGGGCAAACGAGGCAGGAAAAACCCACTTGTTTTTTTCACAGGATATACAATTCTTATTGGAAAAGAAAACCAAACTAGGTAGGTGTTAATTTACCCAGGTGGTATGTATAATAATAGAACTTCTACCAGGACAAACGAAAGGAAGAATGAGAAGAAAAATAATGAAATCCATAATGTAATCCAATCTCTTCATTTCCAATGCTGTGAATAATCTCACTTTCATGGTGCCAAGGACTTCCCAATGAACTCAATACAGGGGAGCCACAGAGAAATCTCTGCTGAATTTTGGTTTATGTTACATCATTCTTTTCATATGTAGTGAGATGTCTCCTAGTGATATTTTAACACATTAATCTAATCACCAGAACATCTGAACAGAAAGTACCCAGTGATTAACCTCTGGATCTAGTAAAGCTTTTTTCATCAGGTCAGGATATTAGCATTTATTTTTTTGGAGAAAAGGTTCATATGACACTACGAGTAAGTGTAAGGTGGTTTTTGTGATTTTACAGAGCCATGGTTTAAACCATCACAGCAATCTCATTTCACTGCATTTGACCAAGCCCCAATATCCTGTGGCAGTCAGTCCTAATTCCCAGTTCCTGGGAACCATGAACCTCCTTTCTGTCTCTATGGATTTGCCTGTTCTGGACAACTCATATACATGGAATCATGCAATATGTAGCCTTTGGTATCTGGCTTCTTTCACTTTGCATTGGGTTTTTAAAGTTCATCCATATCGTAGCATGTAACAATACTGCATTCCTTTCTACATCTGAATAATATTCCATTGTACGGCTATATCATATTTTGCTTACTCATTCACCAGTTGGACATTTGGGATATCTACACTGTTTGGCTATTGTGAACAAGGCTATGATGAACATTGATGTATGCATTTTTACTTTTTATTTTATTTTATTTTTTATTTTTGAGATGGAGTTTCCCTCTTGTTACCCAGGCTGGAGTGCAATGGCGCGATCTCAGCTCACTGCGACCTCCGCTTCCTGGGTTCAGGCAATTCTCCTGCCTCAGCCTCCTGAGTAGCTGGGATTACAGGCACGCACCACCGTGCCCAGCTAATTTTTTGTATTTTTAGTAGAGATGGGGTTTCACCATGTTGACCAGGGTGGTCTCGATCTCTTGACCTCGTGATCCACCCGCCTTGGCCTCCCAAAGTGCTGGGATTACAGGCGTGAGCCACCGCGCCCGGCCGATGTATGCATTTTTATAAGAAAATGAGATCTTCAGTTTTCTCTGGGTATGTACCCAGAAGTGAAATTCCTCCTTCATATGGTAATTCTATGTTTAACTTTATGAAAAACTGTCTCTTTTCCACAACAGCTGCACCGTTTCACATTCCCACCAGCAATGTACAAAGGTTCTCATTTCTCCACATTCTCGCCAACATTTTTATCATCTATCTTTTAATTATAGGCATTGCGGTGGGTGTGAAGTGACATATATATATATTTTAAAATGCTTGGTTACATCAAACATGGTCATACCTGGGCATGAGATGGTGGAAGTCCTCTTCTTATGTAAACACCAAAGAGAGCGTCCTTCCCGAGGGAGATGTTAAACTTTAAGAACTGGGGCTGACTGATGTGAATTTGTGACCTCCAAAACACCCCTGGTGGGACTTCTTGTGTCACCCGCCGACCCACTTCTGCTTCACCACTGTCTATGCTGCTGTTTTTCAATGACCACGGCACTGGAAAAAAAGGAATAAACACCAGTAAGTGAGGTGTATACATTAGCTGGCTGTATATTTCTGTTTAATTACATGCCAGAATTTTTTTAAATATTAAGATTAAACTCATGCCAAATTTCTTAAGTCACAGCTAAAACATTTAGGTTTCAAATAACAAAGCTATAAATCTGCACCCCAGGGCATCTGAAATCTTGGCACAATGCTTTCTAAAATTATGTGATTACTTTTTCCTGATCAAATATAATCAGATCTAGAGTCTGATAAGTACGTGTAAAGCTTCCAGCCATCCCCATTGTGACTGGGATGTAAAAATTATCAGCAGGGGAGGGGAGGGTGATGTTCATTTGGCACCAAATTTAATTCTTGTAGCCTTTCATTATTCTTTCCAGACACAAATATACTCTGACATTTTCAACAAAAATCAGCCCAGAATAAATAAAACAACTCAGTAGAAAATGAAGACTTGAAACTCAAGCAGACCTAATATTGAGTTAGATCTTTCTTTGAGTTAGAGGGAGAAGTCTAAGAACCACAGCGAACGACACCTCTCTTTCATTGATATTAATGCATCTCTGTTGTATGATTTAAAATTGCTTATGTTGAAAATATTGGTTGCCCACAATCAGCATCCTTCAGAACCTTAATAATAGAAATTCCAAAAAGATCTATTTTTAAAGTGGAGTTCTTAAAAACAATGAACCAGTCAGCACCACCTAGACTTCCAAGTGTGGTTTCTCTTGCAACCACAGATTTAAGGAAGAACTGAGAGTGACTACCAGTTGCTCCAGAAAAACAAGCCAATCAATTTTTCAGAGCTTCATTTTCTTTATCTCTAAAATGGGGAAAAAAAATCTCAGTATAAAGGTCATCTGTGATTCCTTCAAATTGATTTTGAACTTGGTAAGAAATATAAAATATTCTTTTATACCCCTGAGAACTTCTGAACTAACTGAAATCAAACAGAAAGAGCTGAAGTCATTTTTGTTTTGAGGGGGGTCTTTTCATTTCTGGAATGCCTGATCACTTTGGTGACCCTGTAGATCCAAAAACTTTTTCAGCCTGATGGGTCTAGAATGCCCCCTCAACATTCTGTGAAGGATTAACTCTTCCGAAAATATTTATCTGTTATCAGGCCACCAGATATCGCAAAGGTTTTGAATGATCAGGAGAAATGGTAAAATTGCTAAAGATTGGCTAAGAGGTGAGTGAACCTGTCTGACTCTGTCTCTCGGTCCCAGTTTCTCTATCTGTAAAATGGAGAGATGACACTTGGTTCTCAGAAGGTCTTTCATGTCTAAACTAAAAAGGAAAACCGCAGAGCGATTTGAAGATAGAAAATTTTTCCCTCTTATTATCTTTAACATGTGAGGTGATTGATTTTTATGCAGCTCAGTAAAAAGCCAGCAGGGGCTTAAAATGAAGCAAGAGAAACACTGGTTTGGATCTTAAAAATAGCCCTTTGACCTCTACGACAATAAAAATAGGGAATGGGGTCCCAAAGAAAGTTTCAAAGCCTCCTTCACATCTCATCTTTATAAGGAAAATTAACAGCCAGAAGTCCTGAGTGGTTCAGACCTTTAGATGAGGACTGATTTATCAAATATTCTGAATTTTTGTTTTGTTTGTTTTTTGAGACAGGGTCTCACTTTGTTGCCTGTTCAGTGGTGACATCTCAGCTCACTGCAGCCTTGACCTCCAGGACTCAAGTGATCCTCCTGCCTCAGCCTCCCAAGTAGCTGGTAGTATAGGCATGTACCACCACGTCTGTCTGCTTAATTTTGTTGTTGTTGTTGTTGTTAGAGACAAGGTCTCACTATGTTTCCCAGGTGCTGGTCTCAGACTCTTGGGCTCAAGTGATCCTCCTGCTTTGGCCTCTCAAAATGCTGGGATGACCTGGGTGAGCCACAATACCCAGCATGAAGTTTTAAATGCTGGCTAACTTTCTAATGGATACTGATTAAGTAATCTGCAGCAGGAGGAATACAGCAACATGTTTAAGAGCAGAGACCCTGGGCTGAAATTACCGTGGCTCAAATCCTAACTTTGATACTGGCTAAGTGTATCAAGTTGCCGTGCCTCAGTCTTCTCATATATTTAGATGGGACACTATTTATTTCATAGGACTGTTACAAAGTTTTAATGAGTTTAGTCTGTGTAAAGCTCTTAGAATAATTTCTGGCACAAAATAAGTATTATTACCTGTAGGGCCCTAAGCCTAAAACGAGTGTTGTTTATTTGGGGGTTTTGCTGAAATAATGGCATGTCCAGGGGGAAACACTTGTTATCAGAAGTAGATCAGGAGCTCTCATGACTATAAACTGGAAAGTAAATTTTACTTTAAAATGCTGCATTTGACACCCCTTCCTTGGGGAAAGGATATAATAAAAAGGACCCAATAAGGAAGAGACATAGTAAGAAAGCCACCTGGGGAAGAAGAGTGTGTGGGACTCTGACAGGTACCAAAAGAAATCCCAGCAATCACAGCATGGCAACAAGTTAAAAGCATTATAAATAAGAAAGAAGACTTTAAAAACATGATTCATCTTTAACTTAATAAGCTGGGCTTTCCTTTATGTCTGTTGGGCTTTCCGGGGTTGCTGGGTTAATGACAGGATATGAAAAAGAGGCAGGAAATCAGCACCCACGAGTGCTCTGATCTACTGTGGAAAACTAAATGGATTGTGATGTCAAGCCAGATGCAGATGTTGGACATGTGCAAGGGAACTTGCCTCTAGAGAGCAGCTGCTCTGGAGAAATTCAGACAAGGAGCCCTAAATCTTTGTTTCTTATAGCAAAGAAACTCCTCTTCCTTTACTAGACCCTGGCTTCAGGACACCGAGTAAATGAGCTGCCACTACCAGCCAGTACAGGCTAGCTCCTCAGTAGTTACAGCGCCCCCTAGGGTTTTAGATCCTCTCTTCTCTATCCTATTCACTAAATAAGGGAGTGCACTTGGGGGATGAATTATAGAAGTCAGACAGAACTGGGTTTGAATCCTGGCTCTGCTTCTTTCATGCTGTGTGACCTTTAGCAATTTGCTTCACCTCTCTGGATTTCCAGCTCTTTTTTTTTTTTTTTGGTAAAGTGGGAACAATAGTTCTAACTGCCTTGGAGGGTGTAACAAGTGGAAGTACAAAAAGTGAGATTAGTACAGTGCCTAGCAAGAAATAATAGCAAAATAATTGCTAAGTTCTTATGTGAAATGAATAAAAGTATGAAAAACAACATAGGAAAGCATCTGATTTTCTTTGCAGAGTAAGAAATTCTCTAAAAGACAAGAGATAGTATGTGCACATGTAATATACATGAATGTCTATGTGTCTATTTGTATATATCTAGCTCTCTATCAAGAGTCTAATTCTTCTGGCATAGACTGGAAGTCAGGGCCTGGTTCAGGTCAAGTGCACCTTCACACTAAAGGTCTACTTTCCTTTACAACACCACCTCCACCCAGTCCTCAGCCAGACAAATTGTTTTCTCTGTGTTTCTATCGCAATTACACTTTGGCGCATCCCACAGCAGCTGTTGGTAGGTATTGCACTTGATTTTGCATGCCTTCTAAGTCTCTGTCTCTGGACACTGTGCTCCCTGAGGTCAGGCAGAGATGCAGATTCATCTCTGGGTTCTCTAAGCTCTGCACCTGGCAATCAAAAGTGATCTATAAATGCTTATTGAACTGGATCAGACTCTACAAACCCATCTGGTGGGGTATTGTAATCAAACCCCTGTGATGACAGGGTAAAGTGAGAACCTTAACAAAGATTTACTTTGAACATCTACATGTATAAGGAAAATGGATGTGCTGTGGGCAAGAACAGGCCGAGGCAGATATCCGGTCCAGCATGACTCAGCAAGTTTGGAGCATAGGCGCACAACTCTGCTTATTATGTAACCACGCCATGTGAGGTGCATTAGGTAACCACTCCCAAGAGCTCATGCTTGGCTGGGAGCCACTCTTGTCTGTAAAAGGTATAACTACCTTGCTGATGCTATACATACAGCTTGCACCCAGGCTCACTCATACCCAGAGAGAGAGAATAAAGCCATGTTGAAACTGTCTGCAGTTCACTGAGTGCTTTTTCATCTACCCACCACTATCCCACGGACTCCCCTCAGACCTCAGTTAGAACTTGACAACACGTAAACTGAACTTTTATTTACTAAATAAAATAATCTTTTGGGAGCTCAATATGAAATTCACTATTTAAGGAACGTTCCTTGTGGATCCTTTTGAAGAGTCATGAGTAAATGTGTAATTTACCTTTCGTGTAAAATCTTACAATAAACAAACAAACCAGGAGAGGTGTGATATAGTGAAAAAATCCTTAGATTAAGAATGAAAAGTCGAGTCCTAGTCATGACTTAATGACTTCGAAATGTTTGTGGAAGGAACAGGTGTAAATGCATGATTCTGTTCAACTTTCATCCTTGTTACTAAGCAGCTAGCTAGTTTTAGGAAGGTATATTTTTCAGTCTCAATGTTCTTATCATATAAAAGTGGCTTGGACACAAAGATATCTTAAATGGCATTCCTTATTAGTCTATTGTGGTCTGTAGAGTGGGTCAGGAGGATCATTGCTGGGTATATACCATGAAGAACTGAGAGAGAGAGAGAGAGAGAGAGAGAGAGAGAGAGAGAGAGAGTGTGTGTGTGTGTGTGTGTGTGTGTGTGTGTGTTGGCGGAGGGGTCAGGGGTGGGGGGTCGTCAGGAGGGAAGAGGAATTATTAGAAAGCATTTAGACTTTGTTGATTAAGAGGTGATTTCACTTTCACAAGCTCAATTCATTCAAAAGAAGATATCCATACTGTTAAGCAAGCTAGTGTTTGCTTTCAAATTACGTTCTTCACGTGTGGAACCGAATTACACTTTGGTGAAGAGGGGTTTTCACTTTTTACTCACATATATGTACATATATATATTTTCACACACAGTCTTTCTTTCTCTCTCTCTCTGTATATAGTCATGAGTTACTTAACAGGGATACATTCTGAGAAATGCA